CTCTGGCCTGTACCCCAGTTCTGTATAAATAAATAAATAAATCTTTAAAAAAAAAAAAGGTGAAAGATTCTTTTTCTAATTTCCCTTTCCCTATCTGGATCTTAACAGATTCATGTTAGTATTGCTAGGCTAATGTGGTCAGGACTGATGACAGTAGAGATAAGAGAACTGAAGATTTCGAGATTTTGGATATCAAATTAATTAGCTAATTTCCTTGAAAGTCCATGTGGGACATAATCTTGTCTTCAAATGATTAGTAAACTTAGTTCTTTTAAACATAATCCTGAAACCTAAATATCAACTGTAACTGATACCTATTAATTCCACACGTCCTGATAAATGTTCATTCCACGTGTCAATATTCACTAACGGCCATAAAGACCCATCTCTGAGTAGAAAATAGTGGCAAATGTAGTGAAGTCTCAGCTCTTTACTCAATAATAGCCACAACTAAGACAACAACTAATAAAAATGTTCTTTTAGGATACTTGAAAACACTTGGGGAGGATATCTTATTCATTCAAAAAAAGTTCATTGAGTATTTTACTTTATGGTAGGCACCTATCCTATTCAAGGGAGTTATAAGAGCAAACAAGTGAAAGAGAACTGCTCTCATTATTTTTACATTTTAATCAGGATGACAGGTGGAATCAAATGATAAATAAATGAGATAATATCAAGTAGTAATAACTGCTATTTTAAAAAGTGAGATGAGCTAGCTATTACTGGAGCTGCTTCTAAGACAATCAGCCTTTGCTTCATGTTTGTGTCAATGAGCTGTGCCATACAGCCCAGGGGGTATGGGCTGTGCCACCTAGCTTGTGTGATTTCATCAATGACATTTGCACAATCACCAAAGCACTTAACACATTTCTCCGAATGTATGGTCTTTGTTAGATGATTCATGACTGTGTAGTAATCAAAGGACTTCTGAGGAAGTGACATTTTAAGTAAAATCTGAAGAAGAGAAATAGTTGGCTGGAGAAAGATCGCAGGTTGAGAGAGAATATTCAGGCCAGAGGAAACAACAAGTACCCTCACAGGCATCATAAAGAATCACCATCTGGCCCCTCCCTGCTGGCACAGCAGGTTAAAGCACAGCACTAAGAAGCAACAGCAGCCGCTGCAGCACAAGTTCAATCCCTGGCCAGGAGGGAGATGACCGAGATGACGTGGCAGACCTGTCCTGACCTGCCCACTGTTCCCCTCAGCAGTGTATTTCAGTATATCTGTCTGTTCTGCTCCCCACTCTGCCTCTGGGGAGTCCTCTCACTGCCCCTGCACCTCAGGACTATACCCCAGTTCTGTATGCATTAATAAATCTTTTTTAAAAAAAGAAAAAGAATTAGCATCACAGATCAGAGAGAAAACCAAAGTGACCTAAGTATCTTGAATAAGAGAAAAAAGTGAAGACAGATAAAGTTGAAAAAATAGAGAAATAATACAGATATACATATTATATATATAGGACCTTGTCATCAGAGTTAAATTTTATCAGTATTTCAACAGAGATGTTATTAGATTTATTAAACCATAGTCATTCATACATAAGCATGAATTATTTTAAGCTTTCAACCTGATTCTTTTTCTCAAGACTTATTTTAACTTAATTGAAATTAATCATTAAAAAGAGGAAACACATGTATAATGATATTGAAATTGGAGAACTGATGCAGAAAGCATACCTAGTTAATAACTGACTCCGTCCCACAGAAGACAGTGGATATAGTCTGCAGGAATCATCTACAAAACTAGGAATTTTGCTACCCTGAAGTTGAGTTGAAGGAAGAACTGCTTTTTTTTTTTTCTATTTTCTTTATTTTCAATCTCATTGTCAAATATTTCAGTAGATTATGAAAAAGTAAATGGGGTGGAGAGTGGTAGACTTCATCATGCGTATATGCGTATATATATATATAGACATATATGTTTGTGTCATGGCTTGCCCTGAACTTCAGGCAATGTCAATGTCAGCCACTCACCAGATAATGTCTATTGTGTGTCCTGGAAGTCAGCAGTACTATGTGTAGCTTTCCAGCATCAACATCAATCACTTCCCAAATATCTAATTTTTTAAATATATTCACATTTTAAAATAAGAGAAATACTCCCCCTTCACTCTATAGATTGTTGTATAATGTTATTACTATCTAGCTAGCTTCCTCTAATTCTAAACTTTCAGTTCCTTTGCAACATAATGACCTAGCCGATTAAAAGGAAAAGTTTAATTTGAGTTTCAAAAACATAAGAGAATTTCATATGAGCTAATGAATCACTAATGCTTTTATTAAAAATATTTATAATTAGAGTTCTAAAACAAGGCTTTTGTTTCTTAGTTTTTTTAACTGGGCTCCCACCCACCACTACCCACACCATCCATAAGAATTTACTTAGATGTTCTTTTTATTTGCACAGACCCTGTTCTATCGCACAGATTAGGACTCGTTGTCCTTTCATGTGAGTGGCAGTTGCTGACATAATGATTATACACAAAAATAAATATGAATGGAAAAAATCAATAGTATGACCTGGTTCCCAGTGTAAATATTCTACTGTTTAAAAAAGACGGGATCATTGCTTAGTAAGTTAATGACTCATGCTTCTTGGCGTTGTTGCCTGACCAAAGGAATGCCAAACCCATCTAAGTTATGTTCCTCGTTGATTGTCACCGACTGTTATATCCAAGGTGATCTATGTATAGTATACTTTAGCATATGACAGGTTTAAGAGGGTTTGAATTTACTGGCAAAATAACAGTGAACACTAAACATACTTCTATTTGATTTGCTTGATTAAATTATATCCTTTTTTGTGAAAAATCTCAGAGAGGATTCTGAAGGTCAAGGTTTTCTTCCCTGGACCTGAATGGAAAGAAACACCAGTTATGGCAATACTGAGCTAACTACTTTGCAAAAGCCACATGTGACATTTTTTAGGACTCTGGTGAGAACATTATTACAGACAAACATGATTACAAAAAATGATATAAACTTGCAATGAAATAAATTATATTAAAGCCAAGGATTATAAATACTTAAAATTATTTACCTCATAATCACTTAAGTACATTGTACTGTCCATGTTCTTGAGGTTACTCACATCTGTTGTTCTTGTGCGGTAGAAATACTACATAAGTGTTGCTATGGCCCAAATCAAATCAAAAATCAAAAGTCCATGCTCAGTGACATCAGCTGGTTTCTTGAAATAGGCCTGAATAGGGGAGAATTTAATAGTGATAAAGAGGTTTCAATTAAATTGAAATAATTTATAGAAAGGTGAAATTAAGTGAACAATAGATTCTATAAAAGATGAAATGATGAAAAAATATACTGGGAAATAGCAGGCTGAAACACAACTCAATGAAGAATTCTGTCAAATCATGATTGAGTTGCTACCTATGAAGACAAGAGTTTGGTCAACATCAACAAAAGTATTGTGTAAGAATAATTGACCACATGAAAACTACAATTAAAAGTGCTGAATGTATTATTATTATTTGCATACGGTATGCTACACATTCTTCATATCAGTAAAACATATCATAAATACATATACTACATATGTATATTTCTCCCCTACAGAGTCCCTTGTTAACTTTGACCAGACAATACTGGTTCTGTGGGAAAGATGAAATTCAATAGTAACCTTACCATCAGCTTTCTCAGGAAATTACAATGGAGAGCAAGTTTGTTTCTAGTGAAGAAAATCTGTTCAAGTAGGTATATATTCGTGCTGAATTCAAATTGGTTTGTCAGCACTGAAAAGGGTTTTGTTTCCATTTTGAATCTGAAACTCCTCTAGTTGGAAAGAAAAACAGAATTTCAATCAAATGAAACGGTAGACATATTTGCTCAGTCTAAAGTATGGCAGCTAGCATGTAGAATTTGGGGAATATTATTTATTTATCACCAGGACTTACCCAAAAAGTGCTTTTTAAAATCAAATTATGATGTCATGTCTAATTCATCTTAGGTAAATATTTTCACCTTTAAATTAACTGAAATGGTGCATGAATAGTCTGTGGTAATGTCTGGTTCCTCCATGAGCGCTTTGCCATCCTTAGGTTGCCCTTTCTCTGTCTAACCAGCAGAGGTCAAAATGCTGAAATATCACATCAGAAAACGCCCTCTGACACAAACATCCTAGAGAGCAAGATCCCAGCTCACACCACAGTTTTTAACCATCGCTTACATCAGAAACCCTCTCCCAATAAATATCAAGCAATCTCCATGCATGTCTGAAGTAGAAAGTAATAGACACTGGTGTCCTGCGAGTAAGGTTTTGCCAAATTATACAGTCACTCAGACTTGGCCTTTGCGTCACCTCAAAATACTTTGATTCTTAGTGACAGACTCTCCCAAATGATTCTAGTGGGAGAATGAAGACATCTAGGAGGTCTGAGAATTAGACTCCTAGGGCTGAAAATAAGCATAATCTAATCATAAGACTAACAACTGTTTCATTTTTGAAGTTGATATTTTTTGATTAAATTCTCAAAATGCCAGCCAAAAAATCCAGATCTGAAGTGTGTGTACGTTATGAGACGTCTGGGAAAAGTAATTTGGGTCCATTATATAACTGCCACTTTTTGTTTTTATTCAAGGTGTCATAAAACTGAGTTCTGCAGTTGAAGGTACGTTTTTTACAACCACAAAATCAATACTGTTTTTGCTTAAAGGTTGCATAGCTCGGCTTTGTAGCTAGAAAGCTTCTGTGGCAGTGGTGTTTGATGCCATGTTCTAATTGCCAGCTATCACCATTCCATCTGTGTTTTTCCTCATTCTGGTCATTTTACGCCATGAGTCTCTCAACCCTCCATAAGTGGCCTTAACACTGACCCCAGAGGGCATTTAAGAGAGTGAATAAAGAATGTTTCTCTTCCCTGATGTGACCCGCTCAGATCCAGCGGTCTTTGGAGAGCCTCTTGTCCTCCAACTATACTTGAGGTTGGGAATTTTCAGGAACCTTGCCCCCATTCTTTTAACAGGTCCTTCTCTGGAGTGTTTGGCCCCTTAGCCCAATGTAGCCGGCATGTTCACCCAGGAAATATATAGGTATGGAGTCCATACGGCTCCTGATGAAAAAATGAAGTGGGTAGGGCACTTACTGATCTCAAATACAGCTTCTTCCTGGCAGGGCAAAGCACTGCCCAGGAGGTCCTGAGACCACCAGCTTCCCTCACTGTCATCCATATCTGTGAGTGGCGACCTCCCTTTAGGAGGGCACTTCAGAAGCTTAGAAGAAAAGGAGGGTGATTTAAAGAGGAAGATCAGTGGGAGAGAGGAACAGAGTGTTTTGTAGAGTCATCCCCAATGTTAAAAACACCGCATTTTCTGCACCAATTCATTGTTTATCAATACAAAATTGATTTCCTTACCCTAGCAGGATATACCATCCCAAAGCAAAGAATGAAATTTTCTTTTTTCATGATTTTCTGTGTTTGTTGTGGAGGGTGTGTGTGTGTACACATTTATTGGGAGTTTGTCAGGCATGCTTTGGAGGTTTTTTCATCCCTACTTATTCAGGGAACGTTCCTTGGAAAGGTGGTTGGCTTAACATAAGGTGAGTCTTCACATTTAGAGGGCAACAGTGCTCGGTGGATGGGCAGTGCATGGGGGAGGGGAGTGGAAAATGCAAGAATGGTCACAGTGGTGAGGCCATCTGCTCATCTCTATTGAAGGAGCTAGGTGGGCTGGGCCCCAAAGACTGGAAAATGAGAGCAGGGTATGAATTTAAAGCTATCACATTTTATTTTTGAAAAAAGTAAAAATACAAAATTTCTGACATTCATAGCAGAAAGGACGCTGCTCTCGAAAATAAGGAAGGGACCAGGAGAAAGCACAGGCAGCAGTGTTTCCAGGTGCAAAACGCACAACGAAGTATCTCCTGGAGAAGCAAGGGCAGTGACTGCATGTTTCAGACCTCAGCAAAGGATTCAAGTTCCCTCTGCACAGTAAAATGGAATTTTATTGAGATTGTGCACATCTCTCCCCGCCTAACAAAACAGGAGACATGGCAACAAAATCAGGAGGACCATGAGAATGACCTTGCCTGTAGAAACTCCCAGGGGCAAGAGAGCACTGAGTGTCAGTTAATTATCTGGAGAACTCCAGATAGCAGTTGGTCTGCCCTGGGTTGTTTTGATGTTTAATCAAGGAATGACTTTGAAGTCACTTTTAAGTTGCCTGCTTGGCTTACACACAGTATTCCACTTGCAGCAAAAGAATGGAAAAGCAAAATAAATTTTTTTACAGCTGAAAGAACATTTGTTTTAAAACAATTGTTTGCTGGAGATTACTACTAGGTAGCATGACCTATTTGCACCCAACTGCCAATCAGGTTTCTGTTCTCCAGAGAAAGATGAGAGTGAGGAAGAATGAGGGCAGGAAGCAGGTGACTGTCTGGGGCTTTTTCAGCGGTCTTCTTGTCACTAGGGTACACAGGAAGTTGTCTGGAGTGGCCATGGGTCCCGAGGTCAGGCCCACTTCCACAGCTGCGTCAGCATTTTTTGGCAGCTTTTTGGCTGAGGCTGTAGAAGCTTGAAGGCTTGGGAGCATGTTCTGTTGTAACTGTGTTAGAACTGTGTGCACAAGGGCCGTCTGGGGTGCAGTTATGAGTGGGTGTGTGCGTGCTCAATGCATGCATTCTTGTGCATCTGGAATGTGAGGTTTTGACCAGCATGCTCAGTGCAATGTGTGTTTTGTACACTATCTTTTGATTCAAAATCAAACCTCAGATGGTAGTCCTTGTGAATGCTTAGCTAATTCCTGTACTTGCTATTTTCCATCTGTGGAATATACTCATGACAGCTTCACAGAGCTTATCATGTCAAGGAATGTGTAAATCATGGGAGGGGATATACTGTCAGATACAAAACCCATTTCAAATGGTCCTGTTCTGGAGCATCCTAGAGCTCTGAAAATAGCCTTTTTAGAAGGTTTCTTTTTTCCTTTCTCTTTGTTTCTTTTTAAGGAAAAACAATTGTAGAATTCATAAGCGTTTGAAAATGCCTGTCAAGGATTTCCGGGATGCAGTTTTGTTCCTTCTTTTTCTGACGCAGGGGTGCCCTCTTCAGCATTTTGCCACTTCATGTAAAGTTTCAAAATCAGCACAAATCAAAAAATCGTTATTATCATATTAATGATATGGTTAAAGTGAAATGTCCTTTGAAAGACTTCAGATGATACTTAACTGTTACACATCCATGCTTTCATTGTTTTCCAATTTAGAAAGATATTTAACAAGAAAAAAACTGAAGCGTCAAAGAAATAATTGCAAAGTTTAGCTGCCAACACGGATGAATTCTGGATTCTAACTCAGGCTGATAGTCCCAAAAATTGAGAAAGTGAAATAAGGAGGAAAAAAAAACAAACAAACGGAAAACCATCCTGACAGAAAGCAGATCTCTGGGGCAAAAGCAAGGGGAGAGAAACCATTCACGCAGGAATTTCATGATAGAGTCTTCTAAATATGCCTCATAAAAGGGATTTTCCCTCTTGAAACCAGACAGGGAGAAAGAGGGACACACATTTCCACAAGTTGATCCAGCCTAATCAAGGAGAAGTGAGAACTCAGGTCACAGAAGAGCTGAATCATGCTGAGTTGCCACAACTTCCAACAGTGCAGGCAGCTCTTTCATTCCCCGGAGGAGGGTCCTAGCCTGTCAGAAACTCTGTCCAATGGGGGGAGGTTCAGAGTGTATTGGGGTGGGGTGTGGGGTGGATTTCAGTCCGGAAGTCGGAAGGCTGAGGGACAAGATGGGGCAGTGAATCTGCAGGCTGGACTTTGCTGCTGATAAGGAGGAAGTATTTCGTGATGCGACTTGCCTCAAAGGTTAATTGTTTATACCTTGTGGAGTAGGCGAGAGTCCAAGTACCAGAATAACATTGAATTCTTTTGAAAGTCTCTATGAGGAAATGAAGTTTATTTCTTTGGAAAAGTTCGGTGTGTTAAAAAGTAGGCACAGATGAGTCTCCATGAAATCTAGCCAACAATATGGGCGTCTCTCCTGCTTTTGGTGGTCTTCGCGTGGATGCTGGGGGGGCGCAGTCAACACCGGAAATGACAAGTGACGCACAAGAGTTAGCATTAAAGCCTCACGTGATCCATTAGCAGCTTTGATTTTGAAAACAAACTTCCCCTAAGTGAAGGGGGTTGGGGGGGGGGGGAGTGAAGCTTTTGTTTTCCTCTTTCCTTGTTGTTACTTCATT